CAGATTTTCCATGACAACTTTACGGTTAAAAGCCCGATGTGACGTTTACGTCACAGAGATATGTATGTAACTTGTTTTATATTATTGTGTTCAGGAAATATGGTCAGAACAGGCTAAATGCAATACAGGACACACTGTTAAAGCATTAAAATTGTCAAATGGGTTTAAACTTACCTTAGTAACAAAAAACTTTTCACAGTCACATGACTGTCGTATGACCACCACACCAGGATGTTTCGTATATGTCACTTAGGAACTTAATGAGTTAAGGTCAAGCATGAAGCTGTATATGGAATATTCAAGGACATTTAAATTGTTTGTGACACACGTGTCACCATGGGTTCTCATTTACACACTATGTACATCACCTGTTTGACAAGATGGACTTTTTTTAAACGTTTTTGCCTTGCAGGGCTCCTGTTGATGATGTTGTGGCATGGGGAGAGTCACTCGACCATCTTCTTGAGTGTAAAAGTAAGCTCACTTGTGGATTTACTCCTCTCACTCTTTTGTCAAACGCTCCTCTCTCAATTCTCCGTCCTCTCTTTTCACCCTCACAATTCTCTGCTGCTCGGCCCCGCACATCATCTTGAATTGCCCTTGGGGTTCTTTGGGAGGATCGAGGATATATTCTTCCTTCAAGTTCATCAAAACCATTTAGAGATATATTTAAGGAGGATGACACTGGCAGAGATAAGAGGCCTAATCTGAGCTGCCAGTGTAGATAGAGTGATTCCAGTCTGCACGTATTCATTTATAAAGCCGGCACTCACTGATGGCTTTTTACCTGACCACATTCCCGGCCTCTATTTGAAAATGACTAAAAGGGGCTGATGGGTTCTTTCTCTCTCTTTCCTCTCTCATTACTTTACTGAAATGAATTCAGCTGATCTGTAATATTTCAGCCTGTTGTCTCCTGCGTCAAGATTAACTGTCCTCCAGAAGATAAATTTTGTCCCGCATCCCAGTTGCTCCATTTCCCTTTGAAGGGAATGCAGTGGCACATATGACAAATCGGTAAACAGTAGCAAAAAATAAATTGCGCACGTGGCAGTTACAATCTGATGCCATTCATATACCTTTACATCTCGTGTGATTTTAACGAGTCACCTCTGTTATGATTGAAAGCTCAGATATGGGCTGAGCGTGATTCATAGACGAGAACAAGCGGCCTCTGGACAATATTTTGTTTCCTGTCAATTACTGTCAGAGACCCTGCTGTGATTTATGTGAAACAATTTGTGTGAATAACACTGGTGCTCGCAGTTAGCTGTTTGTTTGTGCTCCCAGAAGACGTTCTAAGTATTTTACACCTGCCTTAAAATCACAGCTCCATGAATACTCCCATAACAAAAAGGTAATGGGTGTGAGGACAAGATAACAAGAAATATATAGGCGCGTGCAATTATATGATGTTGAGGCAGCGCACATTGGGATGCAGCGTTTGGTTTTGAAGGTTTTGAAGTTAAAAGCACCTCCAGACATGCACCACAATACCTGGCAGTTTGCTGCATCATCTCTTTATTCACTTGCTTTATTCACTTGCTATTGAGCTAACAAGGACTATGTTGAGGAAGCATGAATGTGAGTGAAAGATAACAGAATGGCTTAACCTTTATTATTATGTTTTTCTCCTAAAATACCTAGATTTTGTAAAGAAGAGCAGGTTAATTTAAACCTACTGCCACCTGATTTTATGTCCCCATGCACACAAATGTGTTATGTTTCCAGTCGCGAGAAGACAGTTTAGAGTAAACAAGGTCCTCCTTTAACAAGCACGAGGTCAGAGCTCTTATGGTAAAACAAACTGGAGACAAAATATGGAGAAAACACAAATGACATGCTGAGTGCCCTGGAGTTGAAAACAAGTTTTTAGCATGGCTTGGGATCAGTGTGTCTGACAAAATTATCTCAACTTCCAGCCACATTTCAATCAGGGATAAACTTACTGTACACATTATGACGCTTGAGTTACGTCTATTAGCTGATAAAGACGAGACAAAGAAGAAGACAAAGCAAGGTCATACCATTGCATTTGAAAAGTCAGATAAAGCTAGTAAGTGGACCTTGATTTAAAATTTGTCACACATAAAAAGTCTAAAATCCAACCACAAGATCTTTTTTCTAATTAAATAAAATGTCTGAATAAGTAAATAGGCCTTGTGCAATAACTACTTATGCAAACAGATTTGTTGGCACATGTGGCATTTTTATTAGATACAAACAAAATCACAAGGGGTCCAAACCTGTTCTACAACTCATGCAGACAGTTTACATTCCCTCACAAGTGAATACACTTTGGTGACTTAATAATCCTAATGCCTTAATCAGAATGAATTTGGAGTTTAAATACACCAAATAGAACAAAATTAACAAAATGTTATATACTATATGTATATATGCTATATATACACACACTATAACTAAAATAGACTTAATGCAAACATAATATTCTGTTGACAAGATCATCTTCATCATGGCTGACAATTTACTGACAGGTTTTGTGTTTTGATTTTGTGATTTTTATTGGCTTATTTCAACAGCAGCTTTTACAGTTCAGTAGTTATTAGAAAATCCTCTCATTCTGAGAACTGCCTTACACTCTTTATGCAGGTCTCTGTCCAGTATCATCCGCTGTTGCACCGTACAGTGTAACATCAACTACTTTGTGCTATAATCATATCTGGTCTAATATCTGCATGACTGTCACGTCCCCCTTTACCACCTCTCATGGACTTCAGACATTTTCTAGCATGTAAATTCATGTCAAACCACTTTGTCTTTATGAGTGTGACTGTCACAGTACAGCGCTGCTCTGATGACACATTGTTGAAATCTTTCCTACTTATATTTTCTAATTGTTCTGGGTCATCTAATACCACTATTGACACTGCTAAACTTGTCTGCTGATTTCAGTGTAGTGTGAAAGTCTTACTACTCTATGGTAACATTTTTGTGAATGAAATTTGGCCATAAACGGAATGCAAAAGGAACCCTTATATGAACATTTTTGAAGCCTCGACTCATTTAGTGTAATGTTTTAATGATGATTGGAAGTCAAGTGACATTGTATATAGACTGAGAAAGTTCTTGTTTGCAGGGGGTTGGGGGATGGATAAAACAAACACAGGGCTGTTTGTGTCCCCTGTAAAACCAAAAGTATTACTTCACATTATGTAACATAACTCAACTCACAGCCCCTACAAGGTACATGTAGTGGTAATGTTTCTACTGCCTCATTTTATTGATTTCAAGGGGAATGATATCTGTCATATAGAAGCATCACTATTAAATTGAGACTGTTTCATAACCAGTTATAAAACCCTTGTAGTATGTTTAACTTATGTAACATACGTACTTATTTTAACCAGAACCACAAACTTTTCCTAAACCTAAAAAAAACTGCAACCATTTAAACTCAATTTAAGCTTTATTTTGAAAGTCTAACCGAACATTGCATATTTACTATTGCTGATTTACCTGGCAGCCCTGCACATGCAAAACAGATGATAGATGGGTACTTACAGTGTCATACTTGAAGCATAGGGCCACTGACCAAAGAGCCATACTTGATGAGTATCATGCAAATGCTGAAATCACACAAAGGCACCTCCTCATGAACAGCTTGCATTCATCAGGCTGAAACAAGCAATGTAAGACAAGTTTGTGCAGTTAAGAGACTGAATCAGACCTCATCTGAAAAGTTGTAGAGGCTAAGAATACAAAAGTATTCTTCTATGAGGCCAACTGTCTTGATATCACAGGATAATAAGATAATATGGCTAGCGCAGCCAGAGAGTTTGGCAAGGTCCTTAAAATCCTCGTAGGCTAATTCAGCTTCTGTTGAATGATTGAAATGAAACTCTCCAGGTTTCAAAGTGTTTGTGCTTCCTATGTGCAGCAGGCCAGTTGGTGTTTGAAGATTTCTTGAGGACAGAATACAGCGAGGAGAACCTTCTATTTTGGCTGGCCTGCGAGGACTACAGGAAAATTACCAACGAGACAAAAATGACGCTTGCTGCCAAAAGGATCTATGCAGAGTTTGTCCAAGTCGATGCGCCCAGACAGGTATGGCTTTTGTTTAGTGAGACGAGAATGAAGTGAGAACTGTGCAACTTCAAATCAGCCTTAACTGCCGGCTTGTTTGTTGTCACTGTCACTCCTGCATGGTTTCATTCACTTTTACAATGAAATACAATGTTTATAGGCCACCTTTCCTTTATTTGTTGCTCAGTGCTGCACAGTTGTTTTTCTTTTTACTATTTGAACACAGTTAACTTTCTGAACAGGCATGATAATGTAAAATATCTCCAAACAGAAGGAAGTCATAAGTAAAATAAAAGTTGCTGTTTTCTGAACACAGATAAACATTGACTGTGTGACGAGAGAAGAAATCAGTGAAAATATCTCTCAGCCGGGGCCAAATTGCTTCGACAGGGCGCAGAGACTGATATATGGTCTGATGGAAAACGACTGTTATCCGCGATTTCTGAAATCAGAAATCTACCAAGCTCTCCTGGAACAGCAATGAAAGCAACATGAGGGAAAAAAAGAAGCTCGTCCACCGCCTCCCCGAATGATTGATTCTGCACTTCAGCCGACTCTCCTTAGAATCGCAGTTTTAAACAAAAAAGGCTTGTCTGTCAGAGGAAGCAGAAGTGAAAGGAGATACAGAGTTGTAGATATGGGGACTGACAGGATCTGAAAGCCAGACATGATCTAAATAATGCATTACATAGCTTTTGATGTCAATTTTTGTTTGGATTGCTTTTTATTGCATAAAAAAGGTCTAATTCAGAACAAAAATTGACACCAAGTTCTGAAAGGTTGTTTGAAAAGGCAAGTGTCAAGAGTAAAATGTTTCCAATTTGTGCCATTACAATAATACTAATCAAGGGCTTTTAGTTTCTTTAAAGTTCTTTGTCCTGTGATGAAACACTGTCAACTGCCCAATATGAACATGTATGGTTTTTGACCCCAGTGACTCGTTATTTTGGTCTGTTAAAATACAGAATGATTATATTGACTGAGTGATTCCACCCTCTGATTATATTTAACATCCAAAATCCTGTTATTATCTTGTTGCATTCCTGAATAGTCGGTTACATTAGTCTATTTAGTCTGTGATTGAACCCATGTCATTTTTTTGTTTGATATACATCCTATGAAAGTATAATGGTTACTTTAAAGCATCCCTTACTGCCTGATCTTAAGTTATTTTTGACAGTAAATATTGTTGTTAGAATTAAAACTCTGTGTTGTTTTTGTGGGACATGTTCTGCAGCTGTTGTGGCTCAATATGATGATTAATAAATGGGTGTATGTATGAGCACAGATGTATGCAAATGTGTGCGTGTGTTTGTGCATACATGTGTTATGAGCAAATCTCCCAGTTAAGAGTTAAGACATGTTTCTCAATTTTTTATTTTTTTTGTTTAGTTTTGTATTAAGGTTAGGTTTTAGAGTTGAGATTAAGACTAGAATAAGGTCAGGGAAGAAGTACTGACTAGGCTCCAAAAATCTCCATCATGTGTGCTTTATGTAATTGTAATTATGTAAAAGTTCTTCCAGGAGTAATTATAGCGTAACTGAACCCCTAAACCACTTTTTTTCAGCTGAAAAACTATTTAATAGTGTTGTTGATTAATTCAGGCATTGGTATATATTATCAAGTATTTGAATCCTACATATTGTGTATAAATATGCACAGTGACCTCCCTATACTATATGAAACCTGGTTATTGTAATTGAATTTCGCTATTGGCTGATCTGAAGGCAGGGAAGGCCAGGTTTACATATATGGTGGGCCAGCTTTCGTCAA